AAAATTAGAGCAGAAAAGTGAAAGAGAAAAAGAAAGAAACACTGAAAGAGAGAAAAGAGAGAAAAAAGAGAAAGAGAAATACAGGAAGGCCAATATGCATTACAATAAGAATTCTTGTGAGAAAAGTTATCATTAAAAGAAAGAAAGAAAGAAAAAAAACATACGTATTTATTCCACACGACTGCATTCACTTTAACGAGACAAAATAAACAATGCGAGAGGGATCGTATTTATAAACACTGATACAGATTAACGAAAAAAACAACAACAAACACAGGTTTCTACCTTTCTCTCTTAGGTTTTACACACACACAAACACAGACACAGCCACACAAACTACACACAAAAAAAAACGCGAACACGTACATACACTTTCAATGTTTAAATTCTTTGCTTGTTCTACCCTCCGTTATAACAGGTGAACGGGGTACTTACATGACCTTCCTAGAACACTAGAACACCTGGCTACACGCACCTGGAAAGAGAAATTGCTCATGTGAACAAAACAAAACAATTCATATCCACTTCAACAATAAAATAATTGCTTCATTTCGTATCTTCATCACAAACACTTGAAATATGACAGGCAATATGTGTGTAAAATAAATAAACATGTACAAGTAAATATATGAACAGTTATATATAAGCACAGTTATATATATATGTACACTTGTTTATGTATTTGCAAAGGTATATGAATATTCAAATGTATATGCACATGTATACGTATATATGTATGTATGTATATATATATATATATATATATATATTATATATATATAATATATATATATGTGTGTGTTATGTATGTTTGTGCGTTGCGTGTAAACATGAATAAAAAATACATAATTATAATGACACATAATAACATTGGTGTGTATAAAGTATAGTTATGTACACTTGTCTGTTTCCGAAAGCATTTGCGGCCCACGCCATCCCCCCCCCCCCTTCCCTTCCTCAGTCTGTGTGTTTGTCTCTATCTCTATCCCCTTCTGTATATATAAATATGTACGTATGTATGTATTCACACACACACACACACACACACACACACACACACACACACACACAGATTATTATATATATATATATATATATATATATATATATATATATATATATATATATATATATATATATATATATATATATACGCATCTGCATTTCTTATGATGAGATTCATCCTCGATTTTTCACGCCGTTATCATAATTTAATCTCGTTTTTATTATCATAAAGAACAGCAAGCACTAATACATTTGTTTTACATCACAATATATTCGTCTGAAGGTCAAGGCGTTTCTTAAGCCTTGTTTTCACGTGCACACGTGTACATTCATGTACACATAAACAAACAAACGCAATTTCTGTGTCTGTCTGTCTGTCTCTCTCTCTCAACACATGCACACACATACACCACACACACACACCACACACACCCAACACACACACACCAACACACAACACAACACAACACACGCACATACACACACACACGCACACACACACACACCCACACACAACACACACACACATACACACAAAACCCACACACACACCACACACGCACACAAAACCAACACACACACACACAAACCCACACACACACACACACACACACACACACACAACACACACAACACACACACACACACACACAGACCACAAACCGACACACCACCACCCCCCCACACAACAAACACACACAACACACACGCACACACACACGCCCACACATCCTCCAGTACCTATCTCGGAGCGCGGGGAGCAGCGAAGGGCCGGCTGGCGCGACAGACGGAGGGCGAGTGCGCGGAAGGGGCAGGCGAGGATCTGCTTGTGCACGCGCGCTCTCACTCTCTTTGTCTGTCGACCTATCTATCCATCTATCTATCCGTCCAGCTCGTTATCTCTTTCTCCTCTTCCTCCTTTCTTTCTCTTCTCTATTTTTCATCTCTCTCTCTATCTATCCATCTCGTTACTCTCTCCTCTCTCGTCTCTTTTTTTTCTCTCTTCTCTCTCTCCATCTCCCTTTCTTTCTCTTCTCTCTCTCCCTCTATCTCTCTCTCTATCTATCTATATCTCGTTACCTCTTTCTCTCTTTCTCCTTTCTTTCTCTTCTTCTTCTCCCCTCTTTCTCTCTATCTCTATATATCCATTCTTTTCTCTTTCTCCTCCCTCTATCTCTCCCTCTTCTCTCTTTATTACACCCACTAGGACACCCGCACAGACACCAACCCACAATGCGCTAAGTATACTGTTTTCACACCTTCTGTTTCATTCCAGGGGAGTCTTTCTTGTCTTCGTTCACCAGGAGGAAGTCCCGGTCTCAACACCACAGTTTACAAGACACCTGGACATTATTTCAACTCTTTTTCACTCGGATTTTCAACGGACTGAAATAAAAAAAAAGTCAGGAACTTTTCCATGCGTGAGTATATATTATATATATATATATAATATATATATATATATATATATATATATATATATATATATATATATATATATTTAAATATATATATATATATATATATATATATATATATATATATATATATATATATTATATATATTTAGCCCAATTCAAGCAATTTCCTAATCAATAAAAAATATATTATGACAAGAGCACACTGACTTTCAATTGTACATGATACATAGTTTCCAAGCCATCAAGCGCACGTCATAAAACCCATCCATTATGTTGATCGAGCCAGACGACTCAGGCCCCAAACCCTGATAGATAAGGAGGGCGGGCATCAAAGGGCATCCGGACAAGCCATAATCAAGGGAGGATTCTCGAGTCGGCTCGAGACACCTCGATCCTCTGCACGCAGTTTTGGGAAGATGAAGACGGTGTGTGTGTGTGTGTGTGTGTGTGTGTGTGTGTGTGTGTGTGTGTGTGTGTGTGTGTGTGTGTGTGTGTGTGTGTGTGTGTGTGTGTGTGTGTGTGGTGTGTGGAGTGAGCGTGAGAGAGAGA